GTGTACCACAACACACATAAGAAAGTCAAGTCAAAGGACATCTTGTAGTCAGTTCTCTCTTTCTACCATGTGGGTTCTGGGGGTGGAACTTAGATCAACAGGCTGAAAAGATTTATTTTTATTTTATATGTGTGTTTTGCTTGCATGTATGTATGTGCACCGTGTATGGCTGATACCTGCGGAAGACAGCCAGAAGAGGGCATCAGATCTCCTGGAACCAGAGTTACAGATGGTTGTCAGCTGTCATGTGGGTACTGAGAACCGAACCTGGGTCCTCTGCAAGAGCAGCAAGACTGTGTCTACATTGGTGACTGTTTACAAAACACACGAGAGGAAGGATCAGGCTCATGTGAGAAACGCGCCACCTTCACCGAGGCCTTGTGTGGGAACCACAGAAGTTGCAAGGCATGGTCTGGAGAGTCTTGGGATTTCCTGCTCTGCTGTTGGGCCCTCAGTTAGCATCTGTGGTTGCATGGTTACCTTCTCCCAAGGCCAACTTCAGCAGCTCTGATTGATTAGGATCAGCTAGCCAAATTGGAAAACTGTGTTCTAACCTTGCTTTACAGAGCAGGGTAAATGCTTTTGACCCCACTGAGCCATCTCTCCAGCCCCCCATTTATTCATCTTTAATAACTGCCTTCACCCATGCCCTATGCAAGGCCAAATGACAAGTTGCAGTTGTTATAGGACTGTGGAATCTCCCTGCTGATTCAAGTGACTGGTGATGAACTTGAGGCTAATGGGCATGGTGCACCTGCAACTCCAGTATTTGGGAAGCAGAGGCAGGACGAGCTTTGAAAGTTCCAGGCCAGCCAGGACTACAAAGTAAAACCTTGTCTCAAAAAGAGGAAAAAAAAAAAATTAAGATGGTAGGTAGCAAAGAAGGAAAGCTGCACTTAAAATTCTTACTGGAATTTCAGTCCACTTATTGACTAAAATAGTTTAATTTCTCAGAAACAGTCTTTTTTGCCTGAAAAGGTGCAAGTTTTAAGATATTAGAAACTAGCTTTCAACAGTTTATTAGTTCAGTAAGGTTGATGCTTGGTTTTGTCTCTACAATAAACCCCTAGCATTTTTTTAACATATTGTTAACTCCTAGATTAAGCACAACATTGACTTAAATGTTAAGACTATTTTTTCTTAAAGGAAACTGCAAGTCCCAGCCTATAATCCCAGAGCTCAGGAAGTTGAAGCAAGAGAATTGCTACAGTTTCCAGGGCAGCCTGTGTAGATAGCTATATCGCAAGAACCCCATGACAAAAGAAAAAATACCCTCAGTTCTGCCTAATTCTTTTCATCATCCTCTGATCCTGACCTTCTGAGCCACTTTGGTTATACCATTTTTCATTCCTTCAGCCACATTGCTGAACGTATCTCTAATACATCAGAACCCTTTGTACTAACATTTTGTGGGTTAGTAGGAATGACAGAAAGCTCCATGATTCTCTTTAGTCTGTTCTAAAGGTTTATTTTACATACAAGTAAATGTAATCCTTGTAATGAGAAGCAATGAAGACAGCCAGTAGGGGAAATTTTGTTAAAATTAGAAGGTGGTTTCAGTTTCTGGGTTGTGGTCACCACCACTGAGTGCTTCAGTTTCCATTCCCAGCAGGCTCTGGCAGTCTCTAGAACGTAAACTTCTCACAACTATAGTCTTGTTTCAGCAGGGGCTGAATAGTTACAGGAAGTGACAGACCATCTGGGTGAGGAAGTAGCTCTGCTTTGCATTCTGTCATGTCCAGTTTTTACTTTCCTCAAAGCCTAGAAGATCTGGTGAAGAAAATGGCCCTGCAGTTTTCTTCAGGTCAGTTTATTCCGCCTGGCTCCTCTTGGTGTAGTGGAAGTAGACACTGATATTCCTTTTGCTGGTTGATGCAGTTGGTGAATTTCAATCATGTTGTCCTTGCAGAATTCCTTGGCAGAATTCTATGGCTACCATATTGTAAGGGAATTAGAAGAAGGTTCCCCAAGCCCAAAACTATCTGTGGGAATCTGGAGGATTGTCAAGATACAAAACCTTGTCCACATGAGCAAGCACACATGAGAAAAAATTACTGTATCCTTCAAGCATATGTAAGCAAACAGTTTTTAAAAACCATCATAGCTGCCAGGTGTGGTGGCACACACGTTTAATCCCAACACTAGGGAGGCAGAGACAATCAGATCTCTGTGAGTTTTGAGTCCAGCCTGATCTACATTTCAAGTTCCAGGCCAGCCAAGGGTACATAGTGAGACCCTGTCTCAAAACAAAACAAAAAACCCAACTCATTCATTACATAAGACCTCTTTTCTCCAGATGTGGTTGGCCTATCAGCAACCTAGAGAAACAGAATAGTTTATCAGCTAACTAAGGGGGAGGGGTGTCTTAGATTACTTTCTGTTCCTGTAATAAACATCATAACCAAAAGCAAACTGGGGAGGAAGAGATTTATTTCAGTTTACACTTTCACAGTACATCATTGAGGAAAGTAACTAAAAGTAGAAACCTTGAAGGAAGGCTGTGTACTGGCTCTCCAACTGGCTTTTGCTCAACTAACTTATACAGCCCATACCCACCTGCCTAGGGATGATGCCACACACAGTGGTCTGAGCCCTCCCACATCGGTCATCAAGACAATCTCCCGTAGACGGGTACAGGCCAATCTGAGCAAAGAAATTCCTCAATTAAGGTTCCCTCTTCCCAAGTGACTCTAGTTTGTGTCAAGTTGACAATAAAAGCCAAGAAAAAGGGGTGCTAGAGGGATGGCTCAGTGGTTAAGACCACTGGATGCTCTTACAGAGAACCCCAGGTACGATTCTAACCACATAACAGCTAACAACTATTTGCAACTCCAGTACCAGAGGATCCAAAGCCCTCTTCTGGCCTCTGAAGGCATTGCAGGACATGGGTGCACTTAAATACATGCAGACAAAACCCTCATATACATAAAACAGATTTTTTTTTTTCAAATTAGTAAAAAAGGTGAACCCTGGGACTGGAGAGATGGCTTAATGGTTAAGAGCACTGACTGCTCTTGCAGAGGACCCTGGTTTTGATTCCCAGCACCCACATGGCAGCTATGAACCATCCTTAACACCAGTTCCAGCAGAATCTGGAGCTCTCTTCTGACCTCCGTGGCATTGCACAACACAGGTGCACTCACATACATGCAGGCAATACACTCATACACATAAAATAAAAATAATAAAATTTTTTTTATAAAAAGGTGAACATTAGCCTGGGTCTTTTGTTAGTTTGATGTACACATACTTGAGGAGCTCACCCAATAAAGGGAATTTAGAATTTATTTTTCACAAATGCTAATTTAAATTTTTATTGAATTTTTGTGTATTTCATACAGAGCATCTTAGTCATCTTTCTTTATACCCTCTTCCTATTGACACCATCCCATAGCCCCCCAACGTGGATTTTATACATTCATTAATTTGTGTTAAGCCCTATCGAGTCAAATTAGTGTCCCTAGATATCCCTCAGTGCAAGTTTATCCACTGAAGTCTAGTCAGATTATCTAGAGTCCCTCCATTAAGAAGATCAGCTCTTCCTCACCCAGTAGTAATCAGCTGCCAATAGTTCTTCAGCTAAGATTGGGGCCTGTTGCCAATTTCCTCAATTCTATACTGGGTCGTTTTGCATGGGTCTTGTGCATGTTGACACCATTGTTGTAGGTTCATATGAACAAAGTCCCAGGAGCCTGTTAGACTCTATTTCCATACAGTTGTGCACCTGCTCCCCTGGCTCTTAGAATCTTTTTTCCTTCTCTTCCACAATGGTCCCTGAGCGCTGCTAGATGTAATTTAATATAGGAGTCCTGTCCAAGGACTCATACTCTGCAGACTTATTCTCTACGCTTTGGCCATTTGAGTCCTTTTCTGTTTATGACCCTCTGTTGAATGAGGGAGCTTCATTGATGAGAGTTGAGAGATGCATTAGAAGTCTCTCTACCCCTTGTTCTACTATGTACTGTGAGGCTTAGGTGTAGAGGTTCCTTTGTAAATGTGTCACTTAGGGTTGGACATTTCACAGACAATCTCTATGTGTGACCAGTTGTGCAACTGTGTAATAATCGCTGTTGCAAAAGAAGCTCCTTTAATGAGTGGTGACTGGAATAATTATCTATAAACATAAGGATCCATATTTAGCACATAGTAAGAAATTACTTTTGTTTAGGGATGTGACAACCTTGGGGTTTTCTCTAAGATCTGTCACCTCTTCAGTCATGTGTATTGGGCTGTGTTTATAGTGCCATACTTGAGTTTCCTCTCATTGCGTGGGCTTTAAGTTCAATTACATAGCTGTTGATTACCCCTAAGATAAAAGTGCCACTACTGCACCAATATAGTTTGCTGTGCCTGTCATTGTTGTGACAAGGCTTAAAGCTTGGGTTGGACCATCAATTGATGTTCTCCCTTACCAGTTTGCATAGTGCTCTCCAAAACTATGAGAGCTAGCCTTCAGGGGAGATGGCTTTCAGGTCAGTTCCAGCTCCATTGCTCCAAATTCTGTGTCCAAAGTATGTCCTGTATTTAGTAATAGGGTCTTACCTTCAAGTTCTGGGAGGCAATCAAGGGCTGTGTTTTAGTATTAGAGTGATACTGGCTTCACAGGAGTTTGGGAGTTCTCCCTCTGTTGGAATAATTTAAGTAGTACTGATTGTATATCTTCTTCAAATGTTCTGCTGTGAATCCATCTTGGCTTGGCACTCTTTTTAGTTGG